TCTCTCTCTCTCTCTGTGTGTGCGTGTATTGTTATCAAATTCATAATAAACCCCGTCAATTATCGATTTCAATCGATTTTTCCTCCCCCCTTTTCAAAGTAATTGAAACATTTTTTATTTTTCATTGAAAATTTGAAATAAATATGAAAATGTATTCAACAGAAAAAAAGAAAGGTATTTTTCGATTGTCGTCAATTTGTTTGTTTGTTCAAATTACGCTAATTTTTTTTCTTTTGAAAAAAATCATATTTTTATCATGTTTTCATCAAAAAGAAAACATTGTTCCCCCCTCCCGAAAAAATAACACATAGATCGTTTTACCTAGGTTCATAATATTGAAACTTTCTTTCATTTTTTACTGATTGGGTCAATTATTTAGCCATTATTAACAAGATTATATTTTGTTTGTGTGTGTGTGTGTGTGTTATTCAGTGTAACCAAACCACAATAATGTGGTCACTTATCGTCGTTTTTATGTGTTTATTAGTGAGTTTCGCTAGGCTTGTGAGTAAAAATGAAACATTTAACGGCCATCAAAAACACATTAACAAAGTAGTTGCCGTTGTTTAGTTGTTTGGTTGTTTAGCTGTAGAAATGTATATCGAAAAAAAATGAAACCCTACTTTACATTTTTCTTTTTGCATTCATCATTCATTATAACAACAACAACAACAACAATGATTTGATTGATTGATAAACTTCGGTATTTTTTGAAAGTTTTCGATACATTTATTGTGTTATTTGAAATGAAATTTGTCAAATTATCATCAATCAATGAATGAATGAATGTGATACGGGTGTGAAATGTGATTTTATAATAGGTTTATGTATTCAGAGATTTATTCAATTCAATTCAATTCAAATGAATTCATTTACACCACCGGTTTTTATGTTTGTTTGTTATGACCCAATGTTCCAAACATTTGTTGTTGTTGTTGTTATTCATCATTATTTGGATCCAAAAAATCTTATTTCTTTTTATCATCGACGACGACAATATGTTTGACATCTTTGACTGAATCTTTACCATCAAAAAATATGATTCGATTGGCAGCGTTTTACCGCACACCGTAAAACATAACCACAACAACATTCTCGATTCGCCAAACAAACACACTGGGATAAAAAACAAAAAAAAAGACGACAAAATGTAGCATAAAAAACACAACGGTCGTGTGTTTTTTTTTCGTTTGTTTCAGGAAAAAAAACATCCACACAATCAGATGCTGATGAATTCAAAAAAAATTCATCTTATGGTAACAAAATTCATCTAAACTTCTGACATAGTGACTCATTCATTCATTCAGTTCAGTTTATTTTGGTTTATTTATCCTGATTCAATCAACCAGAATCAAGTATATTTTTTCAATTCATATCCATTCATTCAACCAAAAGAAAATCCCAAAAACCAAAACACTATGGATCTGTTTTTATTATCATCGTGTTTAGTTTTGTTTGGGTGACACGTTTGTTTGTTTGTTTGTCTGAAAATTTTTTGCTCTAATTTAGTCCAAAATAATAATAACACACAAGCTGATCGTTCATTTCGTAATTTTTTTTTTATTGAAGAAAAATGAAAAAAATTTCATTTTTTTCTGGAAAACATGCTGCTGGGATGTGAGAATGGGAACCAAAAACCAACAAACCGACCTTGTTTCGTTGATAATAATTTTTTTTACTTCATTCAGAAAAATTATTCAAGCAAAATTTTACACTGGATACATGAATAAATAAAATTATGTTAATTATTATCTAATTTTTTGGTTTCCACTTGAATTCTTTGAAATTTTTCATTCATTCATTCATTCATTCGGTAAAGAAAAACTTTAAAATATCAAAGAAAAATTATTATTTTCCATTTTCTGATTGCACAATAACAATTATGGTTTGTGTAACGATTATTATTATGATTACGATGATGATTATGATCGACTGGACAAAATGCAGTGTTTGTTTGGTTCGGTAAATTTTTTTTCTCTTTTTTTCACAAACCAAACGTGAAATATGAACTCACCTAGGGCCCTTGTGTCTGTGTGTGTACGCGAATGTTGCACGTGGGAACCTTTCAATACAGAAATGCTTCTGGGTTTGTTTTTTTTCCTTCTCCTGTTTTGAGCTAGAAAAAAATATATCTTTTGTCATTTTGTATGAATGAATAAATGATCGAAACATTGGTTATTTCCCGAAATCTGAACTTTTTTTTTCCCTAAAAAAAAGCCAAAATAATTAGAGTTTAAAGTCAGGAATTATTGTTGTTGTTGATAATCAAATTAAAATCATATTCATATCATATTTATTATGGATTCTCATTCAGGTTTACCCATAGGGCATTTGTGTTCATTCGGTGTGTTTGTGTGTGTGTGTGTGTGTGTGTTGACATTCAATGCATCATACAGGCAATGACTATGGCAATTTTTTGTTCCGGACATAACATCATCATATCCATTCACCGGAAAACAAAGCAAAATGAAATTGAAAATGAAAAAAGAACGAAGGAAATTATTTGTGAAAACGTCTGCTTTATGATTGCTGCTTTTTATATTTGAAGAGGATTAATAATAACAATTCATTCATTCGATGATGATTCTATGATGATGATTTGATGATGATGATGATGAAAAAAAATCAATCAACCGAATTCAATCAAACTAACTAAATAAGAAAAAAAAGAAAAGAATTGAAATGGATCGATTCATTGTTTTTCGCTTTTTATTCTTTGTTTTGAAGTAGAAATCGATTTTTACTGGTAAGCTCTTTCTTCTGTTTTGCTGGTTACTAGCATCAAAATCAGAAAATGAATTCTCTTTCTGTGTTTGATTTTTAATAGCAAAGTAAATAGAACGACAACAGCAAAAACACAATCAACACATTTTTTTTTGTTGAAACAAACAGAATCGACCAACAAGAAATAAAATTCTGATTGTAAATGAATTCATTTTGATGTGTATTGGTTTTGTGTTTCTTTAACGTTTTTTCTAACGCTCGAAAAACAAATCCCAAATAACGTTCGGTCCGTTTGGTCCGTACGATAGTTTTTTTGGTTTCGTCTATACGGTCCAGTATCGAATGCTGATGATGATTTGGAAAGCAAGGCATTCTGGCATTGACAAATGTATTATATTCTCTTTGATGATTATTTCCAATCATCAATTTGGTTCAGAAACACACACATCATTCAATAGTAGCAGAGAAATACTGCATCTTTTTTTTGGTTACAATTACAATTCTTAGTGTCAATTGCAAATGTTTATTTGTTTGTTTGTACGGAATATTCCGGATGTGTGAACGGGAAAATGACAACAACAACAAAAATGAAATGAAATGAAATTTGATCGGTGTTTGCAATGAAAATGAGAATTTCTCTATATATTCTTTTGGTTTGAATGCAAGTAAGTAATGAAACAAACAAACCCAAACAAAAAGACAAAAGACAATATAAGAATTCAATTCAAATCTTGAACATTCAATTCATCCAATGGTCGAAATGTGGACACACACACACACAAGGCAAGGCACTTAGCATCTTTTTGATCATTGAGATATCTATTTGCTTTCCACACACACACAAACACATTGACGATGTCCATTTTTTTCATCATCATTTCAAACACATCATTTCACACGCAGATATTTATTTATTTATTTGGTGTTCTTGAGTATCGATGTGATATAATATTTTTGGATGCTTTTCTTTCGTTTGATCAAATATGATGATCAGGCCATCATCGACTTATATAATTCATATCGAACAGAAGATGATGATGACAAATTCAAATGTAAAAAAGAAAAAAATTCAATTACGGGTATCGACAAACGTCGTCGGTATTACATATACCATATGATCTTTGCGGTTATGATGATGATGATAAAAAGAAAAAAAAAAGATCATCATCGATTGATGAGCCCATTCTAGCTGTCAATTTTTTTTTTTTTGGTTTTTCGGATATGCATTTGGCTCTTTGTGTGTTTTGCATTTTTTCATTTGTTTGTTTTGTTTGCCTTTTGCTTGTTGAATATTATTATGTATGCATACATGCCACACACAATGAGAATGCCAAAAAAAAGAAGAAAAATTTCTATATATGTGGTTTATGCTCACAAATATTATTAGAGAAAATTCAAAATGTAAATAATAATCATCATCATCAATGTGATGATTGAATTGAATTGAATTGAACAAAAAAAAAAATATTTTTAAAGTGTTCTGTCAACACACCAAACACATCTTTTTCAGTTGTTGTTGTTGTGGTGAACTCCACCTCCGTTCATTTTTTTTTGCATTGAATTTTCACTTCTGATGATTTTAGAATTGTCAAATTTTTCTTTTTTTGGCATTTTATAGATAGATTCATCGATTGGTATGCATCATGTTTCCACTGTCAATTTTTCTTTTTTTTTCAGTCAAAAAAAAAATATTCAGCAAGTCAATCAAAATCGACAGATTATATATGATTTGAATGACAAACGATTTGATTCGATTCGATTTTTGGATTGACAACCACCACCATTGAATCATTGAATCACCATTACAAACATTGCTTTCTTGTCAAAAAAATGAAAATGATTTTGGTGTTTTGAATTGTACGAAATTCTTTTGGTTTTCTTGCAGGTGTTCAGCCACAGAAAAAAAAGGATGTATGATTTGTGGTGCGCTGTTTGTTTGTTTGTTTGTCGTTTGGTTGTTGTTGTTGGCGTATTGGATCAATGACAAATGATTTGGACCATAGAAAACGACCCAAAAAAAANAAAATAAAAAAAAAATAATCATCAACAATGGGATGATTGAATTGAATTGAATTGAAAAAAAAAAAAAAAAAAAAAAAATTTTTAAAGTGTTCTGTCAACACACCAAAACACATCTTTTCCAGTTGTTGTGGTTAACTCCACCTCCGTTCATTTTTTTTTCCATTGAATTTTCACTTCTGATGATGATGGTAGTTTTTAGAATTGTCAATTTTTTTTTGAATTTTTTGCTGGAAAAGAAAATTGACAGTGAAAACATGATGCATACCAATGATGAATCTATCTATAAAATGCAAAAAGAAAAAAAATTCAGCAAGTCAATCAAAATCGACAGATTATGTATGATTTGAATGACAAACGATTCGATTTGATTTTTTTGGATTGACAACCACCACCATTGAATCATTGAATCACCATAACAAACATTACTTTTGATCGTTTCTTGTCAAAAAAATGAAAAAAATATGAAAAAATGAAAATCATTTTGGTGTTTTTTGAATTGTACGAAATTCTTTCGTTTTTTTTCGTTTGCAGGTGTTCAGCCACAGAAAAAAAAGGATGTATGATTTGTGGTGCGCTGTTTGTTTGTTTGGTTGTTGTTGTTGGCGTATTGGATCAATGACAAATGATTTGGACCATAGAAAAGAAAAAAAATTTTGTATTGTATTTTTGAACAGGAATTTTTTTTTCGTTCTGATTGTCACCTTTGCAGTTGTCAACCAAGGTAAAATTTGCTTTCTTTTGCGAAAAAAGCAAATTTTACGCCAAATTGACTTGAGATAGAGATAGAAGCAGGACCTTTTTTTTGATCAAAAATATGAAAAATAAACAAACATTTAGCGAACATTGAAAGAAGAATTTGCACTAAAACTTATTATTATTTGTTCAATAACAAAATATTCTTTCATTTCATTTTTCTGCTTTGATAATTTGTTTGTTTTTCTGCTGTTTGGTTGGCGTGTGTGGGTTTTATTATTATTTTTTAGCAACGGTAAGCAGAAAATCAGATATTCAGAAAAAATGTACGGTTCCAAATTTGAATTGAAAAGAAATTTTTCACTCTCGATATTTCGGTTGGTTCAATAGTGTTACGCTTTTCATTTTCTGGCCCAAAAATAATAATAAACTAATCAGGTGAGAATGTTGTAAAGCAGCTCAAAACCAGAACCAAAACCAAAAAGAAGACATCATCATCATTTAGCCAAATGGCATTTGATTTATCTCATTGTGATAATCGGCTTCAAGTGGCCTACGAACTGCAAATTTATTTTTTTAGAGGTGGTGGTGACAAATAAACAAACAAACATAATCTATTTTGACAAATTGAAAAAAGAGTTCCAAACAAAAAAGAAGAAGAAAGGTTATTTTGATGGATGAGTTTCTAATATACCTATCATCATCATTCGATTGTTGTTGTTGTTGTTGTTGTTCATTTTGACAATCTGAATGAACCTGGATTGCTTTGGATTTTCAAGCATTTTCAAAATGAAATTCTTTGTTGTTGATTTTAAGGTACTCCAAAAAAACAGTGGAAAAAAAGTGGAAAAAATCTGCTGATCTTTCAATCAATCAATTATTGATCAATCGAATTGACATCATCAACAAATCACGGATGTTCTTGTTTTTTGTTTTTGGGTAAACATTATTCACTGATTCAAGGGTAAACATCTTTTTTTAATGAAAAAAAGTTTTTTTTTCTGCAAAATTCTCAAGTTCAAATTGTTTCATTTTTTGCTGATGTTATTGTTGATGTTATTGAAAATCAATTTATAATTACTTTTGCGTTTGTTTTGTTTTGTTTTGGTTATAGCCACGTTGCTTTTTCAAAATATTTTGATTAAGATTAAATGTTCTGTGTGTGTATGGATGCATTCTCAATTGATGATGATGTAGTGGATCCTTCATTTGAGAAATGAAAGCAGCCAAAATGCGCTCAGTTATTAAAACGATTTTTTGCATTTCATTTAAATAAAGATACTTATCCATGTCAAAACAACAATTTTGAATTGAGTGAATTGTGAATGAACTTTGAATATTTTTCAACAACAACCAAAACAAAACAACAGAAACTGTTTTTCCCTCGTTTAATTTCAATTTAGGTTATGATCATCATCATCATCAAAACCTAAATAAGGGTAAGTGATTATGGAGGGGGGGGTTTAAAATGATGGATTCATTTTCATTGTGTCCTTCTTCGTGTATGTATGTTTTGGGCAACAAGAATGACACTTGAAGATTTTTCTCTCTTCTATCGTATAGCTTTTGCTGTTGTTGTTATTGAATTTTTTTCACCATTGATTTCAATCCACAATTCAATAACTGATCGATATTGTTATTGTTATCGATCGATGATATTTGGTTCAAATTTTTCATTATTATTTTTATTATTTTTACTATAGCCCCTTATCCATCTTCAAATCATCATCAATATAAGGTATATAAACTCTTGAACCAACCAACCAACCCTCTTTATTAATTTTCATTTTTTTTTGTTGAAAAAAATTTGTTCAAATCAGAGATGAAATCCGGACACTTGAAAATCATCTGGGAGCATATATAGACTGTGTGTGTGTGTGCACTATATCAAAACAGAAATAAGAAAAAAAAAGAATAGAATAGAATTGCAGCAATACCCGAATTGAATGAATGAAAAACCCGATTTTTTTTGAATCAGATCCACTTGAAACCAAACCGAACAACCGAACAACAACAACAACATTGTGAAGAAAAGAAAACATGAGCTATATGAACCTTGACCACTTGATCATCCTGATCATCATGATGATCGTTTGCTTTTTCACATCTGTCATCCTCACCAATCATATTCGATAACAATAACAATACTGGTACCCGAAATAAAAAAATCTCAGGTCTCAATATCAAAACAAAACATTTTTTTGATTCACTCCTTGTTTCCTCTTTACTTAGCAGCCATAATATTCAAGCTATAATATTTTTTAACACATAAATACACAAGTGGGGGTTTTTTTCTTCAATTCTCGATTATCCGATTTGTTGTTGTTGTTGTTGTTGTTGTGACACTTTTACCGACTCAATCAAATGATGATGATTTTTTTTAAGGAAACAAAAGTGGTGATTTTTCATGTTCGTTTATCTAGCGAGTGTGTGTGCGAAGGCCAAAAACAACATTTGAAAATTTGAAATTTCAAATCTTTTCGGTTGAACTTTTAAAGAAAACAAACGACGACCTGAATTCTTTATATGTACCTACCTGGCTAAAAGTATTTAGGTTCGGGTTATTTCATTCATCAAATGCATTTCTTCACTTTTCATAAAAAAAATTGATTGATTGATTGATTCGAGATGTGTACAGGAATTGTTGAATTGAATGACCTTTGAGACCACACACACACACACAGGTATGCTTTGTTGGCCAGCAAAAAGAAAAAAAATTGATTCGTAAACAAAATCAATTTTATTTACTTTTGTAGAAACAAACATCATCATCTTCAATGTAGCTTTAGGGGGTGGATGGATGGCTGATGAACTCTCCATTTAATTCCAATTTGAATTTAGCCAACGGTAACATTTTAACAAGCAAAAAATATAATGTAATGTAATTATATTCAAGTACTCTTTTTTTTCCTCTATAGTAACGATTCTTGAAAGAATGGATATTGTCGTCGTTCCACATGTTTGGATCTTTTGTGCTTGATGATGATCAATGGTTAATTCCATTCATCCACTCTCTTTCTCTCTACTCTAATTAATTCAATCATAAAATCATAATAAGCCCATTATTATTATGATTGTGTTTGTTTGTTTAAATTCATTTTTCTTTTTCAATGAAAAAGAATAATAAAGTTTTTCATCATTCTATTTTTTCAATTACTTAATTAAAAAGCAAAGGGTTTTTTTAAATAATTCAATTAATTTAATCCCAAAACATTTTTTGCTAACAATTTTTTCACTTATTGTAGATGGCAGCACATGTTCTACAAAAAAAAATCATTTAATGAAAAAATGTTTTGTCAATGGAAAAAGAATGGCTGCTTTCGTGAAATAAATTTTATGAGATTATACCGCCATATGGTGTCCAAAATAAAAATCATTTTTATTTTCAAAATTGTTGCTGAATAATTTTCCTGTTCAAATCGATCTTCAATTCAATTCAATTATCATTTGTTTTTTACGAAACAGAAAACAAAAATTGTCCTTGAAAAATCGATTCATTAAGATGAACCACTACATACTTTTTTATCAGAACAAAAACAAAACAGAGGAAACTAAAGAGATTTGATTAAATGGACATTGCAACAAAACATACGTCAGAATTTGTGAATTTTTAAAATGTCAGTTTTCATTCTGTATAAAAGAAAGAAAAAGAGTAGCAAAGTGTTAATTTAGCAAAAACGATGGCATCAATTTCGTTATCGATATTATTATTCTCGATTTTTTGGTTAAATCTGGTTGATTCAATTATATTCTATCAAGGTCATACAACAGCTTGTGATCAATGTGATCGTATTTCAACAAATTCTGTACGTAATATACTTTGTTGCACGAAATTTAGCAAATGTTGTTTACCAAATAGCCTGGATGAATATAATGAACAAGTTAAAGCTGAAGATGATATCTATTATGGCCGTCGTAGTAAATCAAATGCAAATAATAATCGTCCATCATTAGCATCACTTATTAATGATGAAATGAATCGTAGAATGAAAAAGAAAAAGAAACAAAGTAATAACAATAATAGTCGAAAAAATGATAAAAAACGAAAACAAACAACTACTAATAATAAAAAGAAACGTCCAACATCATCCGCATCATCATTGTAACATCGTTTTATCCAATTAATAAAAAATTTACCCAATGTGTACGTTGATTGCAATAATCAATAAATAATCAATAAATTAACCAAAAGAAAAAAATTTGAATTCCAATTTTATTTTTAATTCATTCACAAATTTTGTTTATATGAATTTTTTAAAAATTTACAAATTTTCAGGTGATAGAAAGAGAAATGGAAAACAAATCAATTTTTTTGCTTGTTTGTTTCTTGCTTTAATCCCATTACATCAGCAAAAACAACAGGTTTTTTTGTTTCACTTGATCAACAACAAAAAAAAAATAGAAGAAGACGATGTTAACAAACATTTGAATGAACATTTTTCTTAATAATAAATCAAGATGGTAAACATCAATGGGCTGTCACGTATCATGATGATAATGATGATGATTATGATGGTGATGATAGAAAATGTTCTTGAAAAAAAATCATCATTATTTCTCTTATTTTTGTTGACCATAACATAATTGAAAATTTGGTGGTGGTGCTTGTTGTGCTGTTACTTGTTGTTGATTTGCTTGTTGTTGTTGTTGTTGTTGTGCATCTTCACCCGAAATACTTCCACTGCTCACTGATTGGGATGGATTCATTTGATCTTGTTGCTGATGAACAAAATGAGAAAAAAACAATGACAATTGAAAATTTAAATTTTTTTAAAACTCTTACATCTCCAGCAACACCAGTCATGGGCATTGTTGGTATCAACTGTGGTGTATAAAGTTGTGTTCCATATGGATGTGGATTGCCCGGTAAATGATACTAATGATGAAAAAAAAATGAAATGAGTTTTCCAACATTGAATTTGATTTTACATACCCCGGCCGTTCCTGAAACACCACCTAATTGTATGTGCGACATTTGTGCGGTCAATTGATGCATCAATGCGGGCGAAAATTGAAGCGCTGTAGCATTCGGATCCATTAATTGTGGTTGCATTATATATTGTGGTTGTGGTGCCTGATGATGCAGCCATGGATTTGCTTGCATTGGATTCTGGTATGGTGATGAAAATCTTTGATACGAAGTAGCGCTCATTGGTGATGGTAACATGGCTGTTACACCACCGTTCGTAGTCAAATTTGTTGAATCGAATCCCATCTGAAGTTGCTAATCATTGTATTATTCATCATTAATGTTTTTCAAAAATTTCAACAAAAAAAACAAAACTTACATCAACCTCGCTACGATAACGGCTTTCATTTTTATAATGATTTTTCTTTTTATTACCACCATCAGCAAATTTTACCAACAATGTATCCTTACTGCCAGGTAATAATTTTCCATGCAAAATGTTGATGATACTTTCACATTTTTCTTTACTTTCCATTCTAATTCAATCATAAAAGATTTAAAAATCAACATTAGATATTTGCAATAATAATTTATTTGTTTACCGAGCAAATCCTACACCACGTGGTGTACCATTCGAATCTTTTAGAATACGTGTTGATATAACATTACCATATAATGAAAGCATTGCTTCCAAATCTGCTTCGGCCATTGTCATCGGTAGATTTGCAATATATAAATTTGTTGGATCATGTTCTTGTTGCTATTTAATTAAAAAAATAATAATAATCAAAAATCATACATAATGATTGATATAGAAATAAATCGTACAAGAATCTTTTGCTGCATTATTTTGTTTCTATTTGTATCGGTACATTTCGCCATTTGTGCTTGAACACCTTGTGAAATTAAACTTTTGACCGCTTGTTCGGCAGAGCCAGGATTGTCAAAATCAACGAAACCATAACCTATATAAATAAATAAATAAATTATAAACTAAAAAAAATTGATGGCAATCAATGTTGAAATACCTTTGCATTTGTTGGTTTCCTTATCTAGAATGGCTTTTGTCGAGACAATATTACCATAACTAAAAGTCAATAAAGAAAAAAATTATCAAACCACTGATAATTTTAAAAAAAATCTGATACATACGGTTGGCAAAGTAATTGAAGATCTTTGTCAGTAGTGTTGGGCGTCAATCCACGAATATATAAATTTGTTTTACTAATTGTTGTTGTCAATGTTGATGAATCCGATTTATCTGACGACAATATCGATGTTGACGTTCCATTTTGTGTATTTATGTTTGTTGATGAATTCATGGACAAACTACAATTATTATTATTGTTGTTGTTATTGTTATTTCCACTTGTTGTACCAATATTATTTCCACTATTAATCGATGGAGCATTTATCGAGGTAGATGATCCATTGTTTGTTGATAGTTTATTATTTGTTTGTACCATTTGATTTCCGGTTCCAGCAACATTAGAAGTAGCAACAGCAGCAGCAGCAGTAACAGCACCTGTAGCAACATTAGCTACAGCTGATACTGATGATGTTGTTGATGGTGAAACGGAAGACGATGTTGTACTTTGTTGTTGTTGTTGTGATGAAATTCGGGATGAATTATGATAAGGCTATTATTAATGATAATCAAATAAAAATAAATAAATTTTTAAATCTTTAAAAAATAATAATCAATTGAAAAAGATCCATAAATAAATGCCATATGTCAAAGACAGTGATTTTTTCCCTCTTTTCTCATTCATAAATAATACCTGTGCATGGCGTATCGAATAATTATTATTTGATGTTTGTTGTTGGCAATTTTTATTATACATGCGGAATGGCATGCCTGTTTGTTGTTGTGAAGAATTTGGTAATATTGTTCGGCCATTACCACTAATTCCAACAACAACATTACTACTAATATTACCACCACCACCACCACTTGAACTCATTTGTTTATTATTATTATTCAAATGAGTTAATTGTTGTTGTTGTTGTTGATGAAATGATGAAGATATATTTGGCCCATTCATTGAATTTGCCTGAATCGATGTTTGTTGTGATGTTATTGATGATGATGATGATGATCCGACTGTTTTCATTTGTTGATTTATATTACTACTCATTGTATTCATATTATTATTATTAGATGTTGTTATTGTTGTTGTCGGTGTTGATGATGATGTTGTTGTTGTTGTTGTTTTCGACATTGAACCTTGCAATGCTCTACTATATAAAATTTTTGGCTGTGATTCTTGCTTCATTATTGTTTGATGATAATATTTTTGTAAATATGCTTATAAACACCACTTGAGAAAATTTGTATTCTTTTTTCAATTAAATTTATATTACATCACATTGATTTTTGTTATGGAATGTAAATCATCCAAACAAAACAAACAAAAACTAACAAATTGCAAAATTCATTGATAAAAAAAAACTTGGTTGAAAAAATTCATAGAAAAAAGGGTATAGAAAATCGATGTATTTAAAATTTAAAAAAATAGATTTTTTTCCAACTGATAACAACAACAACAACAACAATGGATAAATATATTGTTTTTTGATAACACAGATCAATTGAAAATTTGTAATTTTTTTTAAAAAAAAGTTCAGTGACCGTATTTGAATGGATTATGTTGGACGGGTGTATAATGTGATGTGATTGTGAATATATGATAACAAAAACTATTATCTAAGTTGAAAATGAACAATTATGGATCAATGAACGATCAATCAGATGACATTTTTGTTTGTTTTTTTTGTTGTTTTGGCTAAATTTCCTATATATACACCACATACGATTAACAGCAAAATTATTGCTGAAACTTTTTTTTGTATCAATAATTTGGATTGAATGAATTCAATTTCAACAAAGCCAAACACACACAAAGAAAAAATAAAACAGCCGGTAAATTGTCAACGAAAAAAAAACACTAAAATTAAAAAAAAAAAATATATAATGAAAACTCAATTGATGAAGAGAATCAGAGAATTTTGTTTGAATTGTTTTTGTTTGTTTGTTTGTTTATTGTTGTCGAATCAAAACAGCGACAACAACGATGTTAAGAAAGATGATGAGGAGGAGGAGGACGAGGAGGAAAAAGAAGAGGTTACATGCAAACATTCAAAGAAAAATGGTTGTTTGGTACAATTTGAAGATTGGACGGAATTAGTAGTGTTGAGTATCATCATCATTTACTTCTACTTTTTTTTTCCTTTTTGAGTTTATTCGCGGTGTTGTTCGTATACGAATGATGATGATGAACGAAACAAAGAACGAAAAAAAAAGCGGCAAGAATTGTTGAATTGAGTAAGTTGAGTTGAAAAAGTGGAAAACAACAACGAACGAACGAACGAACGATATACAAAAACCTGACAAAAGCAGAGGAAAAACGATCGATGGACCAACCGAACGACCCGATCATCAAAAATACAGATAAATGTAAATATACAGAAAACCAGAAATAACAAACAACACACAAAACAAACTTTTCAATCATAAAAGGAAAAAAATTTTCATTTTAGGTCCAAGTAGTGGTATAGTGTAATGTGATATATAATATGGCGCCGCGTTTCAATCATTGTTAGCTGATTTGATCCTATAGATGGCGTTCGTGGATGTTTTTTTTTCAAATAAAGAAAATAAGCCAACACCTTTTGATTTGTATTCAAACATTATTGCCATCTATGATCTGATGTGTGAACAAAAATTTGTATTCGAATTTTTTCAATTTTTGAATTCTTTCTTAATGATAATGGCATTGGATCTTTGATATATTTGGATTTTTTTCAAAAGATTCAAAACAAAAACAAAAAATTATAACATACCGTATGACCAGAATGAGATTGAGCATTTGAATGAACAGATTGAATATTTGATGGTGGCGGATAATATTGCCTAATTCCATCGGCATTCGATGTATAATAATTAACATAATTTCCATGTGTTGATGATGATGATGTTGGATGATGAATTGAAGATGATAATGATGCAGCTGTTGTTGATGATGATGATGATGAATGTGGATGATGTTGTAGATGTTGCTGTTGGCCAGAATTAATTGATCCATGATGATTTTGTCGATGATGATGATGATGATTGTTGTTATTGTTGTTACTATTATTAGCAGCAACAACAGAGGCATTAGGTGTTGTGGGAGGGGGAGCTCCAGTAAATCCTGTAAATGGATTCATCATGGCAGCAGCCATTGCTGTTGGATTAATCATTTTTTGTGGTCAGATGTTTGGTTGATTGACAATAGATTATGATTGAAAAAAACAATTGAACAACAAATGGCAATGTCAAAGATGTAAATCAGTCAAAAACAAAACAAAAAAACAAATTACACATCCAACAGGCACCAAATGAGTAGAATTTGTAAAAAAAAATCAAAATTTTTGCGTAGCGATTCTATTCAAATGATAATTTAAAAATTAGAAAAAAAATCATTATTAAATCATCACAATATTACTTGTTACTGAAGTTATTGAATCAATTTCAAATGATTTTGATTCATCCAACCAAAAAAACAAACAAAAAAAATGAAAACAATGCCGAATCACTTTTTCACATCAAAATATATCAAAAAAAAGATGATTTTTCACAACATTCGTTGAAACAAAACAAAAATTGATGATGTAAAAAATAAAGATGGATGAAGATTTCAATAAACATTACCATTCAGAAAAATATTCCGTCATTTTCTTATCAATGAATATCAAATTGAATTGACAAATACAAAATACAGACATTGAGAGAGAGTTGACAATAACAAAAACATCAACAACAACAACAACAACAACAACAAGGACCTCTGAGCCATTCAATCACTGAGAAGTAGTAGTAGAATAAGAATCAATTGAAGAAGAATCATTCATTTGGAACATTCAGAAGAAGAAAAGAAAGATTTCAGATTCTATTACCACTACCCCATACACAAAGTGACAAGTCAAGTCATATATAAACACCCGGTATGTGTGAAGATGGTAGCGGGAAAGTAGAGGACAATGAAGAAAGAAAAAAAAAGATGCAAATAGATGTGGGGTAGTGACAATCATCATCGGGCAACAACCGCTTAATAATGTCCAATCAACGATGATTATGATTCTCCCCCCTCCCCTCTCTTGTCATTTCGAACATTATTTGAGAATCGAAAATACAGAATATGGAAGTGGTATATGAATTTAAAAAAAGTTTGTTTCTTTTTTGGAAGAAAAAACCGCGCGGATATTTTATTTATTTACAAAAATTTAAAAAAAAAATTATCTATTAATTTGATATAATAATGATTGAAATTTTTGTCGTATTTCATTCGTACATTTTGGATTTGATTTCGAACGTTCGAATAATTGTTGTATGAAAGTATTAAAATTTGATGATTTTTTCAACCATTCATTCGGTATAATCATTATTAAATTATTTAAAAATTCTAATGTTTTTTTCAGATTATTATCAACAGCTAAACGTTGAATAGATGTAAGTATATAACGAAAACATAATTTTTCCATTACAAATTCAAATAAAATTTGTTCAGAAATTATATTACGAAATGATAATATATTTTTCATTAGTTGAATTGTTTCCATATATTGATGATGAAAAAATTCAATTATATATTCGATAACTAAATTTTCATAATATGATTTTACATTAGGATCATCATCATCATTATCGTTAAAAAATTCCATTGGAATCATTTGTGGAATAAATATATCATTTTCAATTGTTTTTTCCATTCGTTTAACAATTGTTTGTAAAAGTTTGGAAAAATTTTCACTTATATCAACCAATGTTGGAAAATTTGTTATTGTCAACCGTAAAAATCTAACAAAACAATCAGTTTGTTTGATTGATAATGGATTCCAAATATCTTTTTCAATCATTTCAATCAATTTCATTATTATAACCTGATCGATCAATATTGGTATTACATTCAAATCGATTAGTTCATCTTGTTTGTTTGAATAACAATAACGAATCAATTCTTGAATAGCATCCATATTTATCAAATCAATATTGTTCGATTTTGGATCCAAAAAAATATTCCACAATGCAAAATCATAACGTAAATAATATGCAAGAAATTTTGGTAAAAATTCCATTATAAATGATTCTTTATAAGTTTGAATGTTTTTCAATTTCCATTTTTGAAATTGTTTACAAATACCATTGATTGAAGCAAAATCATCATCAGTATCATCAAATAATTTATCTAATTCTAAACGAAATGATTTCAATTCTTCATCTAACGATTTTCTTTCGGGATTCTCATCATCATCTTCATTAGTTTTCTTCTTCTTCAAATTTTCCAAACGTTTATAACAACGATTACGTTTAATTTGATCATTATCATCAAAATGATAAACATCCAATACCGAGGTTAATTGATTATTATTATCATATGATGAATATTGTTGACATAATGTTTTATGATTCATAATTAAATATAATGATATTGAATTCTGATCCTGTATATTGGTACGATGTTCATTCAATTGATGTTCCGCATAATTACAATAAACATTCATTATTCCATGTTCATTTTTTTCCAATTCAATCATTTTATCATTAATACAATCAAATAGATTTCGAATATAATCATAAAGATTTCTATATAAATTATATTCATCAGTCATTTCCACAACATCTATAATATTATATTTTTCAATATCATTTTTGGATAATTTTAAATCCATCATAATACGATTTAATAATTGTTGATTTTCATCAATTGTTGTTTCGATTTGTTTTCGCATTGAATGTATACGATCCGTGAATGAATCAAAATTCAAATCATCATTATCATTATTATTATCGGTTGATAGATCAACAATATAGCTAGGTATATTATTACCATATGATCGATAATCCATTTGATCAATTTCAATTGGTACAATACTATGATTATCATGTATTACTTGTAATTTATTCAACAATGTTTTATCATCCATAGTTGTTAAAAATTTATTATTCATTTCAGATCGTGCTAAATGATAAATATTTGGCATACGAACAGCTTTACGTATTTGTTCACGTTCCCATTTATCCATTTCATCTTCTTCTTCTTCAGATTCTTCATTTTCATTATTATCAGCATCATCATCATGGTCATCATCATCGCCGGAAGATGATGAATCATTATTTTGTTTTTGCTTTTGATTTTCATTTTTTTGCTGTTGTTGTTGTTGTTCCTGAGCAACACGAAAACATTCACGAAATTTTTCCTTATCTTTTGATTCATAATCAACATTACCAAATTGTATTCGATCTTTATCATCATCATCATCATGATCATCACAATCAGAATTCGGTAACAAATCATCATCATCATTTTCACTTTTATCATCATCACTATCACGAACTTGACGATTTCCACTTTCATTTTCTAATGGTATAAAATCAGCTGTTAATGCCATTTTTTGTCGTCGTTTTTTCAATTCATAAATTGTTTTAGCATCCGGTATTATACCACGTTCTAATGATGAACGAAATTGTGGTCGTTGTTGTTGTTGTTCTTGAGAACGATGATTAAAATGTCCATTTTTATCATCATCATCATCATCATTGGCTTCTTCATCACTACCTGGACAGACAATAATTTCTTCCACTTTTTTCACATCATCATTATCATCATTACAAGATTTTGGTGATTTTGTTGGTTGCTCTTGATTCGAATTGTTTTCATTAGTCGAATTATTATCATCAAATTTATTTCGACATTTTAATAATTTTTTCTTATTCTTTTCCATTCTTCGACTATATACAGATTTTTTAACGATAAAAACATCTGTTTATCAAAGGAAGAAAAACAAAAAAAAACATTAAATATTGATCAAAATTGTTTGCTTTAACAAAAAACAAATTCCTACCTTCTTCTTCATCTTCTACAAAACTAAGTTTTGTTTTTCGATCATTTTTATTATTGTTATTTGTTGATTTAAAACTAAGATTACTATTACTATCATCATCATCATCTTGATCGATTATAATTTGATTGTTTATATCATCATTTTTTACAATTGTTTCATCATTATTCGTTTGTTGTTGTTGTTGTGGTTGTTTTTGTACATCATTATTATTATCATCATCATTATCCGAATCAGAATGACGAATACGTTGACGAAATGATCGTTTAGATTTTTTAAACATAATTATTACTTGAAAAACTTTAGAATCAAAGGAAAAAAAATATTATTTCACAAATCGCTCAATCGGCATGCATGTTTTGCTGTTGTTGTTGTCATTCTGTTTCACAGAATAGAAATATTTCCAGAAATACATTTCCGATCGATTCGGGAAACTTTACGGCAAAAAAAAATTGATTTTACAAAATTTTTTTTTTGAAAAATTTTATTTATTTTTTTAAAATTTAGATTTTATGATGAAAAAACATGATAATTAAATAGGATATTATTATTATTATTATTATGTGTGTATAATAAGAAATATAAAATATAAATGGTTTGCATAGCTTGACAAAAAAAAATTGATGAATTCAAAACAGAAATCAAAGAGATCAGATGATAATTTTTTTTCTGATGATGATGGTCGTCGTCAAATCATATTATAATAAAAATAAAATAATTTAATTACGAATACCTAATGCTTGTTCTAATTCAATTCTTCGTTGTTGTACTTTACTATAAAAATAACGACAAACAGCTTCTTGTGTCCATGGTTGATAGAAAAAATCTGAAAGTCTTTCCTCTTCAGGATTACCATTTTGATCGGTCATAACTTTAAGATCACGTACTTGTGAAATAAGCCATTTATGTATAAATTGTTGTGGATCGGATGCAAAACCAAGATAAAATTCTCTACTTGTTTTATGTTGATTAATTGAATCAACTGTTTCATGATTTTTCTGTTCTAAAGCCAATATTTCTTGTTGTGATGCAATGGATAATAGAAAATTTTGCATCTGTGATTTTAATGGATCATCTACTTCAACTTCAATATCATAACAGGAAACTTTTTTCAATGAATCCAAATGTCCTTCAATCTGTATCTGATGATTAATTATAATCGGATCTGGTGGCTGTAGAAAATGACTTAAACGGCTTGGAAATTCAGCAAATTTAATACGTTTTGCATTGAATATTTGTTCCAAATATTGATCGCAATTAATAAATTCACGTTCATGTGTATCTTGTAGACGATTTTTCTTAACATATTGCCAAAAGGCTTGTATGATAACAGGTCGTGTATTAGCATAAATACCTAACAAACGGCTTAATCTTGGATCCAATTTATATTGCATTGGCTGATAGTCAAGCATAAATAAAATTGTACAACGTACATTACGATCACCAGGACGTTTTACTTGAAAACCATCCGTTTCGGATGTATTTACTGATCGATGCCATTCAACAAGATGATTATCTGGACCATAAAGTTCTTTATCCAATTCTATAACTAAACTTTTGAAAAATGTTGAAAATTTTCGTTTATGCAATGTTTTTGATGAACTTGATGATGAACTTTCAGGTTTTTCATCCAATAATCGTCCTTCTACTCGTAATTCCCATGATGGTACAATTGGTTCTTCATTACCTTCAGGATCATTTTTTCCTGGATAAAAGGTATTCGTAACAAATATACGTAATTTTCTTTTTTGTTTGATCGGTTTTTTCAATGCTTCTTGTATATCCATTCGTTTACGCATGATAGTGAAATCAAGTTTACGTTCAAATGCAATCAAATCCATGTAAGCTTGTGATTCTGGAACAAGATCACGAACTTTTTGTGGTAGAATTTTATCCGAAATTTTTTTCTTCTTTTTGGCTATTGGACCATGCATCGATGCATTTGAACCAGGTGCGATTGTATTTGGTGGTCCAATACTACCACCTCCAGACATTTGTTTCATTCCAGGATTCATCATGGCACCGACAGCTGATCTTTTACCACCGGCATGCATTGGTGATTGTTGCTGTTGTTGTTGAGGTGATGGTGGCGGTGGTGGACCAGATTGTGGCATTGAAACCATTGGTGGACGATTCGGTGATTGTGGTGGTGGATATTGACCAGCACCAGCCATTGGATGACCCATACGTACTTGATGCGGAGGTGGATATTGACGTGGTGGCATCATTGAATTTGCCGATGGTGGTGGCGGAGGTCGCATCGAATTGGGTATAGGTTGTGGTGGCATTTGATGATTCGATAAAGGTGGTCCTTGTATGGCTACATTTGGTGGAATCATCTGTCCAGTAGATGGAAGTGGTGGTGGTGGCATTTGATTAACATATTGTGGTCGATTCATTTTTTTTTCTTTTCTTCGAAATCGTCTAAATCGATAAAATTCAATCAAATCAATTCAACAACCAAAAATACACAATGGGAAAAAAAAGCCGAACAAAAAGCGAAGAATGGTGTGAATAAAATGACAGAAAATTTGCGCTCACTATCGATTCTATCGATTATTGAACGAATCACGATATTCACACATTGTTTATTCGAAATTTTATTTTATTTTTTTTTTAATTTTATTTTTTTCTGCCAAAAAATTAAACAAAATGACTTCCATTATATATTTTACACCAATTTCTGGTGCTTTAGATGAATCACCACCATGTTATCTTCTTAATATTGATGAATTTTGTTTTCTTCTTGATTGTGGTCTTGATGAATCCTGTAATGTTGATTATGTTGAAAATTTAAAACCACATATAACAAAAATTGATGCCGTTCTTCTATCACATCCGGATACTTTTCATCTAGGTAAATGTCGATAATGAGAAAACTAAAATGTGATTTATTTTGAATTTCGATGTTTAAAAAAATCCAGGTGCATTACCATATTTATTTGGAAAATGTGGCCTTTCATGCGATATATATGCAACAATACCAGTTTATCAAATGGGTCAAATGTTTGCCTATGATTTATATCAATCTCGTCATGGTTTTGAAGATTTTAATCTATTCACATTGGATGATGTTGATTTAGCATTCGATAAAGTGATTCAAGTTAAATATAATCAAACAGTAATGTTAAAAGGTAAAGGACAAGGTATAACATTAACACCATTACCGGCTGGACATATGATCGGTGGTACTGTTTGGAAAATTGTTAAAGATGGTGAAGAAGATATTTTTTATGCTGTCGATATTAATCATAAAAAAGAACGACATCTAAATGGTTGTACAATTGATAAATTATCACGACCATCAATGTTAATTATTGATTGTGATAATATTAATTATATGCCGGAAAGAAGAAAAAAACGTGATACACAATTATTCGGCAGTATTATTGAAACATTAAGATCAAGTGGTAATGTACTAATTGGTACGGATACAGCCGGACGTGTATTAGAATTATCACATATGCTTGATCAAATGTGGCGTAGTGAACCAGGTCTTCATGTTTATTCAATCATATTATTAAATAATTTTAGCTATAATGTTATTGAATTTGCTAAATCATTAGTCGAATGGATGAGTGATAAATTAATGCGTGGTTTTGAAGGTCAACGTAATAATCCATTTGCATTTAAACATATACAATTATGTCATAATCTAAATGAATTGGCTCGTATTCCTGAACCATATGTTATTTTAGCATCACAACCAGATTTTGAATGTGGATTTTCACGTGAACTTTTTTATGGATTTTGTGGTAATGCAAAAAATACTATCATTCTAACACAACGATCATCATTACCTGGTACATTGTGTGATTTGCTTATTAATTCGGCAAATTTACCAAGACCATTTCGAATAAAATTTATACGAAAAATGCGTGTACCATTAGCAGGTGAAGAATTGGAATCATATTTAGAACGTAAACGTAATGAAGAATTGGAAAAAGAAAAAGAAAAAAATGCTAATGATTCTATAAAAGATAAAAAAAATACTGATGATGAATCGGATGAAGAATCTGATGACGATGATGATGATGATGATGATGAATATTTTGATGAAGAATTTAATCGAATTTCAAATGTTAAAAATGCAAATTCAAAAGTACCAAATATCGCCGGAATGACACAATCTACGAACAAACATGATCTAATGATGTCATCACGTATGGATGGCCGTGTAAAAGGTGGTGGTTTTTTTAAGAATGCAAAAAAATCCTATCCAATGTTTCCGTGTGTGGAAAAGAAAATCAAATGGGATGATTATGGTGAAATAATTAATCCAGATGATTATTCTATATTTGATATGTCAAAAATATTTATGGAAGATAAAGAAAATATGATGACAGAAGAATTGAAAAATAATGAAAATATGGCCAAAATTAATGATGATCAAATGAATGAATTGATTAAAGAAACAAATCCAACAAAATGTATTGAAAATATTGAAGAATTACAAATTCAAGCTAAAATTGAAACAATCGATTTTGAAGGACGTTCCGATGGTGAATCATTAAAACGAATTATTAAAATGATACGACCAAGACGTTTAATATTAGTTCGTGGATTATCGGATAAAGCTAATAGTTTTGCTGCTTATTGTCAAAATAATGATTGTGTATCGGGAAAGATTTTCATTCCAAAAATTAATGAATTAGTTGATGCAACAACTGAACGTCATATTTATCAAATAAAATTAAAAGATGCTTTAGTTAGTTCATTGAAATTTTCAAAATATAAAGATGGTGCTCAATTAGCATGGGTTGAAGCTGAAATAGATATGGATATAACTGAATCAATATTGCCACAAAATGAAGATCAACAACAACAGCAACAAAAAAATATCGATTCAAATGATACAAATAATGATAATAATAATCGAAAAGAAATGGATAAAACCGAAATGATAATCATGATTGATAATCATCAACGTAATAATCGTGAAATGATACCAATATTAAAACAATTACCATCATCCGAAATGCCAACACATCAAACAATATTTGTTAATGAATTAAAATTATCTGATTTTAAACAAATATTAATGAAACATGATATACAAGCAGAATTTTCTGGTGGTGTATTACTTTGTAATGGACAAGTAGAAGTAAAAAGAACTGAATCTGGTCGTATTCATCTTGAAGGTACTGTTTCGGATGAATATTTTAAAATAAGAAAATTATTATATGATCAATATGCTATTCTATGAACAAACAGAACAGAAAAAAATTCAAAATCTGTTTTTCAATTTGTAAATATTTATTTCATTTTCAATGACATGATTTCATTATGATTATGTTTTTCTCAAATAAAGTCTTTGGAAAACCACTCTGTTAACCTAATTTTCGAAACCCAAAAAAAAGACAAAGTCCAAATTCCAAATTGTACTGATTGAATCAAAAAAACTTGATCATGAATATTTAATCAATCAATCAATCAATGTTTTTTGTTTTTGTTTTTGGATTCAGCAATAATTGGTCATCAAAAAAAAATATCATTCGATCATCATTTGATTGATGCGATAATTGATTTTTTTTTCTTCTTCTTTTTGCTTGGTAACAATGTCATATAAATACTGTCGGTGGTTGTAGTTGTTTTTGTTGTTTTTTTTCTCCTCGAAGATCATTGAATGATAATTTTTTGAATGAAAAAAAAATTATGGAAAAAATTGATGTTCATGCACATATTTTACCGGAAAAACTTCCATCATTCAGAGAAGTAAGTTGCAAAAAAAATTTCCCAAATTGAAACTAATTTTTTTCTTCAAAATGTGAAAGAAAGAAATTCGGATATTCTGGTTGGATACGATTAGAACATCAATTTGATTCGAATGGTTTGAAATGTTCAAAACTTGTTTATGATGATGATAAAACAGCAATGAGAATTGTTGATAAACGACTTTATTGTATTCAAACACGATTGAATGAAATGAAAAAAAATGGTAATACACAAAACATCAATGTCGGATTAAAAAATATTAATAATTTATGTATGTAAACAGGTGTTAATAAACAGGTAATTTCAACCGTACCAGTTACATTTAATTATTGGGCAAAAAGTGAAGATAATGAATTTGTTGCAAGATATTTGAATGATAATATTGCAAATGTAATAAGAAAATGGCCAGATAAATTTATTGGTCTTGGTACAGTACCAATGCAAAATATTGAACTTGCAATCAAAGAATTAATACGTTGTCGTACAGAACTTGGTATGAATGGTTTAATTATTGGTACACATGTTAATGATCAATCATATGATGATCCAATATTTGAACCATTTTGGAAAGCATCTGTTGATTATAATATGCCATTATTTATTCATCCATGGGATGTTATTAAACCGAATCGTTGGAATAAATTTTGGCTGCCATATATTGTTGGTATGACAGCTGAAACAACTGCTACTGCATTACAATTAGCATTTAGTGGTGTTTTTGAACGTCATCCAAAATTGAAAATTATACTTGCACATTGTGGTGGTACATTACCATATATTAATCAACGTGCAAATCATGCATATAATGTTTATCCTGAAGATATGTGCAAAGATTTTCAATCACCAAATCAATATCTTAAACAAAATCCAAATATTTGTGCCGATACATTAGTTCATGATCCAAATGCATTAGAATTAGCCATAAATTTTTTTGGTTCAGATTCATTATTACTTGGATCGGATTATCCATTTAAACTTGGTGAAGACGAACCCGGTTCATTGATTGATAAATTATCAGATCGTTTCCCTATGGATTTAAAACAGAAAATTTTTAATAAAAATGCCAAACGAATATTCAATATTGATTGAATTTGATTTTTTTTTCAAAAAAAAAAAATATCGATTGTATCGATTAAGTCATTCATCACTAAACAGAGTGATTTATTTTTCAAAACAAAAAATTTTTTTATTTTTTATTTATGATGATTAAAATAAAATGAAATTTTAAATAATTTAAAACAAGAAAAAATGGCTGTATGTAAATTTTATGTTCAAGGTTATTGTCGTTATGGTCAACAATGTCGTTTTGATCATATCGATCCACAACGAAATCAAACAAAACAAAGTCTGTAATATTTTTATGTAAATGTTTTCGATTTTTTTTTTGAAAATAAATTTGTATTTTTTTCATTAGATACAACCGGATTTAGTTTTACAAAAACATTGCAACAAATTTCATCGAATCCAAATTCCAATAATGCCAGTATATTTTCCAATACAAATTTTTCATTATTTCAGCCAACTCAACAATCGTTTTTTGGTCAATCACAACAACAATCATCAACAATTGGTGGTGGTGGTGGTGGTGGTTTCAGTTTCAATCAGACATTAAAACAATTGAACAATGTTCCAAATGTTGGAATGCCTATGAATTCTTTATTCAATAATGAATCAGAAATGAAATCTGATTTTCATCATTCATCATCAACATCATTGTTTAATTTTCCGGCAAATAACACGTTTACATTTGGTAATACAGCTGCTTTGAATTCAGCAAACATTGTAACGAGACAAAATGATGCTCATCATTGGTATAAAAGTAATAACGATGTTAATAATCAACCAGTGGTTAAATCGAAATCATTTTTCGAACAACCAATGCCAAACGAAACGACAATGTCATCTGAATCGAATGTAGATACGAAAAAACTGGGAATCCGATATGGAATCTATTCCGAATTAAAAGATTTAATCGAAAAAGATTTAGCTAATTTTAAAGCCGATAAATTTATTCATCCAATACCGTTTGATCCACCACCATTTGAAGTTTGTTTTTAGTGTGTGTATGGAATGTGCTTATTATGATCGTTGAAAACAAGTTTTTGGAAGAAATCTTATTTTTTCACAAGTTTCAAGCATCAAATAAATGGATAATTTATTGGCCATTATCGTTATCATCATTTTTATCATCAATCCATATCGATTGTTGTTGTTGTTGTAATATATCCGGATTGATGTTTTTTTTGCAAAAAAATAAAAAAAATTTGATGTATCGATTTCGATCGATAGAAAAAAAACAAACAAAAACCTTTTTTTTCTAAAATAAATATATGATGTATCAATTCAATTGAAAACCAAAACAGGTTTCACACATACGTCAAGTGTGAAAATTCAATTTTTTCTCTGTTGTTGATCGGTTTCTATTTGATTTATGAAAAAAAAACGGGAAAAAAATGGGAAATCAAAAATCAATGAACAGATTCAAATCCAGAGTATGTTTGAAGAAATTACCAGGATTTTTTAACCAGGTTTTAAAAATGACAAATTATTAAATCTGAAACATGACGACACACGAAACATGGAGTTTATATTTTGAATTGTTAAATACCTATATGGATTTGATCGAAAATCAAATGAATGAATGAAAAAAAAATCTTATTATCCGATATAAACTAAAAGGCACATAGTGTGAGCCATACATTACATTACATAACATTATTATTATTATTCTTCTCATTGTCATTAAGATGATTAGATTATACCAGTGGTGTTGGTGTTTTTAATTCAAGGCGTTTTCCATTTGCACCAAAATGATCATCATCATCATCATGATCATCATGTCTGTTTGATGGTAATCACACACACACACATACGGAATAACGGAAGGGAAATAACAAAAATGTTTGTTGTTTGTTCTTTTGTAGTATATCCACAAAATGAAACAGGAAAAAAATTTCTGGGCGGTGGTGGCTGAATTTTCTGTGTTTTAGATCAAAAAAAAATGTAAAATTATCCATTTATTATCATTATTAAAGATTATTATCCTGAAATGTTTTTTTTACCTGAATTTTTTCATTTTTCATTGATCTTGGATCAACAATGGGTGACACCATCAAAATGACAACCAATACGACGCCGCCGATTTTTTTTCTGTTAGCATTTTTGGGAAATATCTTCGGGAAAAAAATGTGGAAGAATGGTTCATTCAATCAAATGAATCGGATGATGATGAGGAAAAAAGCTGATTAAAACAGGGCCAACAATACTACCAACGCCTTTTAAAACCAAAATTGTTTTTTTCCGAAGTTTTGTTTTGAATTTCCTGTGATCTCTGTGCGTTTAGTGGAAAAAGTTATTTTTTTCCAAAAAAATCTTGTGAACAACGTCGAAACAACAACAAGATAAATCGACTGATGCCAAACGAAACAACGAAATCATCTTGAAAATTTAATCAATTGGAACAATATTACTCGAGCGAAGAAGAAGAAGAATTTGTTAATTTTTTTCACTAGAATTTATTTATGATTATTATATCCATCTATGATAATTATAACTCGTGATTTGATCTGATTTTGGAATTTTTTTCATTTCCATTCTCTTGTTTAATAATATTGTCGCTTCACTTCATTATCAATGTATGTATTTTTCATTTCGTTTCATTCATTCTCGAAATGATTATAAAAAAAATGAGAAACAAATGAACACAAAATTCATTCCAAATAATAATGATGATTATTATGTTTTTGACAATTCAAACGGAAGAATTTTTTTTGTTTCACTCTCATCGTAATCAACTTTTGGGATGTTTCAACGTTTCGTTTTGTTCTTTGGTTCGGTTTGTTTCGATTCTAGTAAATCATTTTCATTCATTCATTTGTTTTTTCGTTCATCTTCATTGATGATGTACACAAAATGGCAACCCAAAATCATTATTGTGTTGATGATAATATCCGATTATTATTATTATTATTATTATTTGCATAATCATATTTCATAAATGAAACTGAGAATATATAATACAATACAATTTAATTGCATCCTGATATCGAATGAAATTTCATTTTTTTTCTTCTCTTTCAACATTTATCGAAACATATAACTTGAATTTCGAATTGTTTGATTGTGTAGATTCGATCTTCGGTCATTGAAATAAGAAAACTAGAACTTCGCGGTTCTTTTCTTCTTCTTCTTCTTCTTTTTCTGCTAGACAATGAAAATGAAAACAAACAAACGAAAAAATCAATTATAATGATCATCATCATCGAAATCAAGAAATCATTAAACATTCAAAGATACAAACATTCGATCGAACAACATCCATTTTTCTTATTTTGCAAAGAGAGCGAGACTGAGATGTTTCACAACCAATATTGTCAATTTTTTTCTTCTTGTTATCTCAATATTTGAAAATTGAAATGAAAGAAAACATTTTTTTTTTTGTTGATAAAGATAACAAACGAAAAATTTTGAGAATCAGACAATGGAACACACAACAAAAAAAATCATTTGACATTTGACAATTTTTTGGTCGACTATATCGACTCTACCCCCTCTCTACATACTCACAATACCTTCCCGTTTGATATCCCTTGTGTGTGTGTGTGTCATTGATGTTTGTTTGTTTGTTTGTCATAATTCTGTATTTGGTTGTTGTTGTCGAAAAGCTTATCTTCTTTTTTTTTGGAAGAAAAAGAAAAAGAATAAAAACGATATCGCCAGAAATGAAATTCTTTTACTTTTCTTCTTCATCATTGTATATGTTTAGTTTGTTTGTGTTTGGTTTGTTCGTTTTTTTTCTTTCGTTTTTCGTTGAATTTCATTGAAATTCATTCAATTCTTTTTTACGGTTTGGCACAATGATACTGCAGCCGAGCACGATGTCCGAATTGATAAGAATTTTTGTTGTCGTCGTAAAGGTTGTCAAAAGTAGAAAAAAAATCGTTAGTTACTTTTTTTATAAAATATTCCGGAAACGAAATGAAAAATCTCTTTTTATAAATGAAAAAAAAAATTATTTCAAAATCTTTTAATGTTAATTTTTCTTTTTCTTTTTCTTGTCATTCTTATTTCTAGCAACACTTTAAAAGCGAAAACTTCGTTCGATAAGTGAAAAATTCAACAACTAAAAAAAACATGTGCAAATCATTTGAAGATGAAACAAATGGATGTTGTGAAGATCCAGATGATGAATGTATTGGTCAAAATGGTTGTTGTTGTTGTTGTTATTATTGTTTAACAAGTGAATGTTGTTGGGATTATGATGATGATAATGATAATGATGATTATGATGATAATAATGGTCAACAACAACAACAACAACGAAGAAGACGACGACGTCATCATTGTATAAAATGTCCACCCGAATGTTTAATAAAACTATGGAATTGTTGTAATCCAATCAAATGTTTTACATATAGTAATATGATTACAATATGTCGTTCATTATATTTATTATTATATACATTATTAATTGCAACATCAATATTCGGTTTGATTTGGTCAAATGTTTATTTTAATAATTTTGATCATATATTTACTGGTACAATATTAGGTGGACATTTAGTTACATTATCAGCAGGTTTGTAAAATCTAAAAAGAATAATAATATAATATTTCTCAAAACAAAAATTCATTATAATTATAAACATTTTGTTTTCATTTTTTCTATTTTTCCTTTTAATTATTCTAGGTGGATTATTATTAGGATTAAGCGGTCTTTATGCTACAATCAAACATCATCGACGTTTATTATATACACATACAATTATAAATTGGTCATTATTTATATTAAGATTTTTTACATGGTTATTATCAATATTACATGAATATAATTTTAATCAATTATTATTATATGGTTTAGCACCAATTGAATTATTATTAGCATTGTTGTCCACAATATTATTACGAGATGCACTTATTTATTATTGATTATTGCTGATTTTGTCGATTATGATGATCATTCATTCAACGGAAAAAACAATAACCCGAGAGAGAATCTTCAAATATTGAAATACCGATTTGTTTTGTTTTTCTCTTCCCCGAAAAAAAGATGATTATTTCGATTCCAAATACTATTAATAACGATTCAGAATTTCTGCAAGTAAAGACAAAAAAATGTATCAAAAAAAAATCAATGTTATTCATTCATTCAATTCAATGTTGAACAAAAAAAGAAAATCGGGAAAAATTTCTTTTATGACAAACGAATAAATGAATCAACGGACATTCCAAATTCTTTTTCATCATCATCATCATTTGGTATTCACAAAAAAATATTCTAGAATTTTTTTTCTTTTTGCTTTAATCAATCAACGTACAACAACAACAACAATCATCAAACAACAACAACAACAACCATCATACGACAACAACAAAAGTATTTCACAAGTAAAACAAAAGAAAAAAAATAGAAAAAAAATTATCAACAACAACAACAACAAAATGGCCAAATGGAATTTGATGGAAAAATGTTGTTTTTGGCTGTAACGTTGTTCCAGTTGTTATTATTGTCCAGAATAACAATGTTTAAGAAAAAAATAATTCTATAATTCTATCTCAAAATTCGCTCTATCTTTTGTCTTATTTTTCAAGTTTTTTTCAAATTTTTCAATCGAAATGATACACAAACACACCAAGACACACAGAGAAAAAAAAACATTGAAAGCTTTTTCTCCTGGATTAATATTTGTAACAACAACAACAAAACGAAAGATTTTTTCCATGTAATTGTATAGTGATGTGTTTTAGTAGGAATTTCTTTTTTCTGTCTTTAAAATTAGATTTTTTTTTTGTTGTTGTTGTTGAAATTTTTAATAATTAAATCATTGTGAAGAAAAATTGAAACACTGGTTCTACATTCAATTAACTTTGTTTTACAAAATCAAATTTTGGCTATCGATTTTTTTTTCTGGTTTGATCGGAAATTGAATTAGTACTATCGATTACTATCGATATAGTTGTTCATCACCACCATCATTATTGAGTTCATTTATTTCAACATACACCTGATTCAATGTTGTTCGATGACAATGAAAACTTCTGGTACAAAAGTCTTGATGATGATGAAAAATCATTATTATTATTTTTCCTTGGGTAAACGAAATATAATGATATCCAATATCGATTAATTGATATTAATCAAGAAAAAAAATGTTTTTTTGGTTTTGTTTTGCTTTTTTTTTCTAGGTGCAGATGTTGTTTTACTCAAAGCTTTTTTGTTTTGTTTGTTGTTACTCTATTCACTGTTTTTTTTCTAAATTGAAAAGGTAGGAAAAAATTGTCGTTAAATGCATGGTGTGTGTGTGTGTGTATTAAATTCTCTCTTAATATATCGGTGGAATACAAAGAAAACCAACAACAACGACACACACCGAGAATCTCTATTCCAATTCAATCACCTGGAACACGAAATAGTTCGATCTATCGATTATTGTTAGGCAACAACAACCAACAACCAACAAAAAAGAAAAGAAAAAACAAAAGTGCTATTAGCAAGAAAACCAAAAAAAAAATTCTGATCGATTCTATCGAATCGATTTGTTCAACAACAACAAAACGAAAAACATCCAGGAGCAGAATAATGTGACAATATTGAATGAAACCACATTACATTCATTGAATATTGGACAGAAAAGGAAGCCAAAAATACTTCCTGTAACCATCAACAAAATTATAATAATGAAACGAACTAAAAAAACCATTTGACCATTATCATCATCATCAAGAATACCGTTGTTGTTGTTGTTGAAAGGCTGTTCTTTTTTTTTGTTTTTTGGTTCAATAAAAAACAACAAAACGAAGAGAGATTCACGTCCATATTAGATATTTATATGCTGTATATGTGTGTGTGTTTGACATACGGTTACAAATAAATAGAAAAAAACCGGGTATTATACGGGTATATAATTTTTTGTCTCCCTTCTTCGATTCATGTTTCATGACCATTATCATTGTCATTATCATTATCATCATCATCATTTTGAATTGTTTAGTCGTTGTTGTTGTAGATGGTTATGATTCCCTAATTTTATCCAGTGTTTTTTTTTTGTTTTGTTTACTTATAATTTAAATTCTTCATGGAATTCTTTGCTTTGTTTTTTTTTCGAAAATTTCATCGGTCCATTGCCCAGCCTTAGTATTTTTGTCGTTGTTGTTGTCGTTTTCTTCACTTAGTTTATGATTATTGTTATTGTTTTTTTTTATATTCATTTTATTTTTTATTTTTGGGCGAAGTCAAACTACAGTAGAGTAGAAATAGCGAACGAAATCCATTCATTTCATTTTGATTTGATTGTAAAACTAGAAAAAAAAAGATTCTTTTCTTTCGAAGCGAAAAAAGACATTATTTTTCATTCGAAATTCACCCAAATAAAAAACACAATGGTTGAAGAGAGAGAAGGACTGAAAGAAGAAATAAAGGTTTGACACCAAACACATTTGTTATATATTCAATTTTTCGTTTTTGCTTTGAAAAATTCAAAAAAAAATAAGGGAAATAATAAACACACTTGTCGTCGGTCGGTCGTGTCCACAAATAAAGTGTGTAAATTATATTTTTCTTCGTTTCGTTTTTGGGGTTATTTATTGACTTGATTTTACGTTTTTTTTCTTTGCACAATTCTTTATTCGACCAATTTCTTTGAAAGAAAATTATTATTATTATCTGGGCGATTTTTTTTTGAGGGTGGGGGGTAGGGGTTAAATTTTTGAGAAAATGAAAACGACAGAATCGTGAATCAAGAAAAAAGTCAAAATAGCCGTCGTTTTGTTGTTGATTTTATGCATACGGTTATCAAACTCCCGGAAAAATACTGCGTAAAGTGAATACAAAAAGACAAATAAAATGCAAAAACTGAAAAAAAAGGAAAATTTAAATCTTTTTGGAACGAAAAATTCTGGGACAAACAAACAAACAAAATGGAAAACAAAAACAAAAAAAACATAATGCAAATGGGCAAAACAAAACTGAAAAAAAAAAAATATTTTCATAATGTCAGCATAAATTCTTTTACATATTTCCACTTTTGTTTGTAAATATGTTAACAACGACAATGAAATAACGATAAACTTTTGAATCAAACA